TTTGGGGGATTTTGGGAGGTTTTGGGGGGATTTTGGGGGATTTTGGGGGGATTTTGGGGGATTTTGGGTGTCCCCTCTAACCTGTCCCCTCCTCCCCCTCCCCAGAGCTGCCAGCAGAGGAAGGTGAGTCCCCAAAATGCCCCAAAATGCCCCAAAACCGCCCCAAAATGACCCCAAAACGCCCCAAAACGCCCCAAAATATCCCAAAAAGTCCCAAAATATCCCAAAAAGTCCCAAATTCTCCCAATAAACACCCAAAATATCCCCAAAACACCTCAAACCACCCCAAAACCGCCCCAAAATGCCCCAAAATTCCCAATTTCTCCCAAATTCTCCCCAAAACGACCCAGAAAATCCCAAAACTCCCCCTAAAAATTCCCAGATTCTCCCAAAAATGCCCCAAAAATGCCCCAAAAATGTCCAGAAATGCCCCAAAAATGTCCCCAAATGTCCCAAAAATTTCTCCAGATGTCCCAAAATGTCAAAAAAATGCCCCAAATGCCCCAAAAATGCCCCAAAATTGCCCTAAATGCCCCAAAAATGTCCCCAAAATTGCCCAAAAATACCCCAAAAATGTCCCAAAATGACCTCAAAATACCCCAAAAATGCCCCAAAATTGCCCTAAATGTCCCAAAAATGTCCCCAAATGGCCCCAAATGCCCCAAAAATGTCCCCAAATGTCCCAAAAATCCCCAAATGTCCCAAAAATTCCCCAAAAATGTCCAGAAATGTCCCAAAAATCCCCCAAATGTCCCAAAAATGCCCCAAAAATGCCCCCAAATTTCCCCAAATATCCCCAAAAATTTCCCCAAATGCACAAAAATGCCCCAAAATTGCCCCAAAAATGCCAAAAAATTGCCCCAAAAACGCCCCAAAATTGCCCCAAACGCCCCAAAAAATCCCCAAAATTCCCCAAATTCCCGATTTTTCCCCCGGGAATTCCCGGGCTGTCCCCAAAATGTCCGGAATTGTCCCCAAATCCAGGGAAATCCATCTGGGAGTTGGTGGTGGAGCAGTTCGAGGATCTCCTGGTTCGGATCCTGCTCTTGGCCGCCTGCATTTCCTTCGTGAGTGCCCGAAATGCCCCGAAACGACCCAAAATGACCCAAAATGACCCGAAAATGGCCCGAAATGACCCCAAAATGGCCCGAAATGGCCCAAAACGGCCCGAAATGACCCGAAAATGGCCCGAAATGACCCCAAAATGGCCTGAAATGACCCAAAATGGCCCGAAATGGCCCTAAATGACCCAAAATTGCCCCAAAATGACCCAAAATGGCCTAAAATGACCCAAATGGCCCTAAATGACCCAAAATTGCCCCAAAATGACCCAAAATGGCCTAAAATGACCCAAAATGATCCAAAATTGCCCAAAATGGCCCGAAATGACCCAAAATGACCCAAAATGACCCCAAATTACCACGAAATGACCCAAAATGGCCCCAAAATGACCCAAAAAGACCCAAAATGACCCAAAATGACCCAAAATGACGCAAAATGACGCCAAAATGACCCAAAATTACCCCAAATGAACCAAAATGACCCAAAATGACCCAAAATGAACCCAAAATGACCCAAAATGGCCCCAAGTGGCCCAAAATGACCCAAAATGACCCAAAATGACCCAAAATGACCCAAAATGGTCAAAAATGACCCAAAATGACCCAAAATTGCCCGAAATGACCCCAAAATGGCCCAAAATTACCCAAAATTACCCCCAAATGAACCAAACTGACCCAAAATCACCCCAAAATGACCCAAAATTGACCCAAAATTTCCCAAAATTACCCCAAAATTACTCCCAAATGACCCAAAATGACCCAAAAAGACCCAAAATTGCCCCAAAATGACCCAAAATTACCCCAAAATGACCCAAAATGACCCAAAATGGCCCAAAATGACCCAAAATGACCCAAAATGACCCAAAATGATCCAAAATTGCCCCAAAATGACCCCAAAATGACCCCAAAATGACCCCAAAATGGCCTAAAATGACCCCAAAATTGCCCAAAATGGCCCAAAATGACCCAAAATGACCCAAAATGACCAAAAATGACCCAAAAAGATCCAAAATTACCCAAAACAGCCCCAAAATGACCCAAAATGACCCAAAATGACCCAAAATGACCCAAAATGGCAAAAAATGGCAAAAAATGGCAAAAAATGGCAAAAAATGGCAAAAAATGGCAATTTTGGGTTTTTTTTTTAGGGTTTTTCCCGGATTTTTCCAGGATTTTTTCCAGGATTTTCCCGGATTTTTTTGGGGTGAATTCCCGGGATTTTGGGGATTTTGGGGGGGAATTTTTTGTTCATTTTTTGTTCATTTTTTCCCCATTTTTTGCCCATTTTTTGCCCATTTTTTCCCCATTTTTGGCCAATTTTTGGCCAATTTTCGGCCAATTTTTTCCGTATTTTTCCCGCATTTTTCCCAAATTTTCCCCGATTTTTCCCGGATTTTTTTGGGGTGAATTCCCGGGATTTTGGGGGAAATTTTTTTTCATTTTTGGTTCATTTTTTGTTCATTTTTGGTTCATTTTTTGTTCATTTTTTGCCCATTTTTTGCCAATTTTTTCCCCATTTTTTGCCAATTTTTTGCCCATTTTTTGCCAAATTTTGCCAATTTTTTGCCAATTTTTCCTGGATTTTTTCCTGATTTTTCCCGGATTTTTTGGGGGTGAATTCCCAGGATTTTGGGGGGAATTTTTTCCCCATTTTTTCCCCATTTTTTCCCCATTTTTTGCCCATTTTTGGCCAATTTTCAGCCAATTTTTTGCCAATTTTTTCCGTATTTTTCCGGCATTTTTCCCAAATTTTCCCCGATTTTTCCCGGATTTTTTTGGGGTGAATTCCCGGGATTTTGGGGATTTTGGGGGGGAATTTTTTGTTCATTTTTTGCCCATTTTTTCCCCATTTTTTGCCCATTTTTGGCCATTTTTTGCCAATTTTTGCCCAATTTTTGTCCAATTTTTGTCCAATTTTTTCCTTATTTTTCCCGCATTTTTCCCAAATTTTCCCCGATTTTTCCCGGATTTTTTTGGGGTGAATTCCCGGGATTTTGGGGATTTTGGGGGGGAATTTTTTGTGCATTTTTTGTTCATTTTTTGTTCATTTTTTCCCCATTTTTGGCCAATTTTCGGCCAATTTTTGCCCATTTTTTGCCCATTTTTTGCCCATTTTTTGCCAATTTTTCCTGGATTTTTTCCTGATTTTTCCCGGATTTTTTTGGGGTGAATTCCCGGGATTTTGGGGATTTTGGGGGGGAATTTTTTGTTCATTTTTTGTTCATTTTTTCCCCATTTTTTGCCCATTTTTTGCCCATTTTTGGCCAATTTTCAGCCAATTTTTTGCCCATTTTTGGCCAATTTTTTCCGTATTTTTCCCGCATTTTTCCCAAATTTTCCCCGATTTTTCCCGGATTTTTTTGGGGTGAATTCCCGGGATTTTGGGGATTATTTTTTTTAGGGTCCCTCACCTTTTGTCCCCTCGCTGTCCCCAAGGTCCTGGCCTGGTTCGAGGAGGGCGAGGAAACCATCACGGCCTTCGTCGAGCCCTTCGTCATCCTCCTCATCCTCATCGCCAACGCCGTCGTCGGGGTCTGGCAGGTGAGGGAACGCGCGGGGAATTCCGGGAATTCTTCGGGAATTTTTCGGGAATTTTTAGGGGATTTTTAGGGAATTTTTTGGGGATTTTGAAGGGAATTTTTTGGGATTTTTTAGGGAATTTTTTGGGATTTTTTGGGATTTTTTTGGGATTTTTTAGGGATTTTTTAGGGAATTTTTTTGGGATTTTTTAGGGAATTTTTTGGGATTTTTTTGGGATTTTTTAGGGAATTTTTTGGGGGATTTTTTTGGGATTTTTTAGGGAATTTTTTGGGATTTTTTTTGGGATTTTTTTGAGATTTTTTGGGATTTTTTAGGGAATTTTTTGGGGATTTTTTTTTTATTTTTTAGGGATTTTTGGGAGATTTTTTGGGAATTTTTTGGGATTTTTTGGGGATTTTTTGGGATTTTTTAGGGAATTTTTTGGGATTTTTTAGGGATTTTTTGGGATTTTTTAGGGAATTTTTTGGGATTTTTGCGGATTTTTTGGGGATTTTTTTGGGGATTTTTTGGGATTTTTTGGGGATTTTTTGGGATTTTTTAGGGATTTTTGGGGGATTTTTTGGGGGGAATTTTTGGGGATTTTTATGGAATATTTTTGGGATTTTGGGGAATTTTGGGGGGGAATTTTTTTGGGAATTTTTTGGATTTTTTGGGGAATTTTTGGGGATTTTGGGGGATTTTTTAGGGAATTTTTTGGGGATTTTTTCGGGATTTTTTGGGATTTTTTAGGGATTTTTTTTTTATTTTTTAGGGATTTGGGGGGATTTGGGGGGGATTTGGGGGGAATTTTTTGGGAATTTTTGGGGAATTTTTGGGGAATTTTGGGGGGATTTTGGGGGGGTTTTGGGGGGGTCTGGTGTCCCTTGAGGTCTCTC